ATTCTACATCGCTGTCTGATTAGCCCCGCCCACCGATTCTACATCACTGTCTGATTAGCCCCGCCCACCGATTCTACATCACTGTCTGATTAGCCCCGCCCACCGATTCTACATCACTGTCTGATTAGCCCCGCCCACCGATTCTACATCGCTGTCTGATTAGCCCCGCCCACCGATTCTACATCACTGTCTGATTAGCCCCGCCCACCGATTCTAAATCTAAACTATGATGTTTTTTGATGTAAAAATCTTGAAAACATTATAAGGGGACCTCAGAGAACAGTACAAAATAATAAAAAAGGAAGTTCATGAACCCTTTAACTTGAAGTATTCTAAAAGAATCAACAGGTCTTTGAACTGAATAATTAGATTCATGAATTATTGAATCTAACCCAGATTAACTGAATAGATTAATTGAATATTGAGCTTTTGATTCACATTAAACATATTATTGAGTTTTGAGGGGAAAAGTGATTCATTTGAATCTGAAAGTGAAAGTTCAGATGCTTACATTGAATCAAAGTGGATCATCTATCTGATCACATTTTCTGGTATTCAAGTTATTGAATGTAATATTTAGTTTGAAGGTATTGTTTATGGTTTTGTTGTGTTACAAACAATTGACAGAGCATTGAATTTTTCCAAGTGTTTTATTTTATTCTTGTATGGTGCAAGGTGTATTATCATCTCAGGTAAAATAAATAAATTAAAGAAATTAAACTAAAGTAGTAATGTATAATAGATTGAATTTATTGAATAATAGCTCTGTTATGTGCCTGTACCTCTTTAATGAAGCTGATGAATCGTCCCCCGAAGCGCCAGGGTTTGTGTCGGTTGCACTGCAGCGAGCTGACGGTGATCTGCGGCGACTGCTGAACTGCCACCGCCACCACGTGAACCGCATCATACATCAGCGCCGCGTCCGTCTGCACACACACACACACACACACACACACACACCTGCATCCTACTGTGCCCAGGCTGGTGTATGGTTTGCATCTTTGGCCAGATTGCATCTGTTATGGCCACAGACAATTTATGACACATTTCTCCTCATCTTTTTCCCTCTTCAGACGTTGCTGTTCTTATCTCTTCCCTCCTGTTTCAGCTCAGCTCTCGCTTCACTTGAGCCTAAAAACTACATCTCCCACAACCCTCCTGTGGGTTCTCTGTGATTTTATAATGCACCTAAAAAAGATTTTTAGCCTGCTGCTTATTCAGTTGACTTCATTCAAATGAACTAAAGCTACATCTTAAATTTCACAACTTAATTTCATCATATTCAATCCACAGTTACTTAATCATTTTGTGATGACAACTAAAACTCCACAGTGTGTTTCTTGTTGCCAGCATGTTTTGGGAGCATAAATGTAAGACAATGTCCGAACAGTTTCTTCTTGCTTTATCATATATGTAATACATGTAGCATGCTATCGTATGCTATTGCTAGTATATTTTAATACTAATGCTTAATAAATTAAGCTGGAAGAACATAAAATAATTAAATAAGCCTTTAAAATGAACCTAATGATGTGGATTTAAAACTACTCCTACTCCAAACACAAGTTCCAAGTTTAGCAGCAGCCTAAACCATGACCACTGCATTTAGACCTAAACACACATGCACATTTTCCAAAGACACACACACACTGAAGCTGTAGTAAAATGTACTGGGGACTCTGGGAGACTCGCTTCATGAGTTCCTGTGACGTCTGTTTACAGCTTCGGTCGGTTTTTAGCTCTTCCTTGTTATTTCTGTACAGTGTGTACATGTGACATGTGCTTTTTGTGTATGTTGAGTCTTTAGCTTAACTAGAACTAATCATTTTGACATCCACACATGGTTTTGAAAGCACAAAAACAGGCTTTTTGAAAATTCTCCCAGCATGCATCTACAGAGAGAGAGTGTGTGTGTGTGTGTGTGTGTGTGTAAGACAGAGAGAGTGAGTATGTGTGTGTGAGTGCATTTGCTCTGACAGACACTGAACATCTGATGATGATGATGAGCTCTTCATCACTACTGTGTTGAGTTATAATGAATCTCTCTGTGCACACGTTCTGTAAAACCCACTGAAATCACCGTCACAGGCCTCCTGCCGCACGCTAGCAACAGAGATTCACCACACGGGCAACGGTTTCCATGGCAACTCTGCCTCACTGGCGGCAACGGTTGTCAAGATGATAGAGAGAGAGAGTGAGAGAGTGCAGTCTGTGTGTGTCTCTCTCTCTCAGTCCTATCAGATCTTATGTACTGTATAAACACACACACTGAGGCTCAACAGATGTGATATTATAACTGAAATTATAGTATACAGTATGCTGAAAAAATGGCACTTTTATATTAGTGAAGCTGAAAATAAAACAGCTTAAATTATCCTAAGCTGGTTTGCTGGCCTGAGCTGGTTTTAGCTGGTCTTCACCCGAGTGTCCACAGGAGGGCGATGTGTCTCAGTGATTCGCTGATTAACGTCGTGAAGAATTAAAAGGGCACCTGCGTGGAGCACATGTGCACAAAGCTTACGGCCTGATCTGATCTCAGAAGCTAAAGAGCAGAGTTTTTGGATTAATTCACTGGGATTTTACTGCTGAGATTGAGACCTAACTCGTTGGGAATTAGCTACGGATGAGAGCTGGCAATGAATCAAGAGAGAGTGGCGAAACGACTCATCTGAACTTCCAGATTCACAGCGGCTGAAGCTTCATGACAGACAAACAAGTATTTCGCTGTTTATTAATCATTGAGTGTTTGAACTGTTAGAATTCAAATACCGATAGTGTGTGTGTGTGTGAGAGAGAGAGAGAGTGTGTGAGACAGATAGAGAGTGTGTGTGTGTGTGTGTGTGTGTGTAAGACAGAGAGAGTGAGTATGTGTGTGTGAGTGCATTTGCTCTGACAGACACTGAACATCTGATGATGATGATGAGCTCTTCATCACTACTGTGTTGAGTTATAATGAATCTCTCTGTGCACACGTTCTGTAAAACCCACTGAAATCACCGTCACAGGCCTCCTGCCGCACGCTAGCAACAGAGATTCACCACACGGGCAACGGTTTCCATGGCAACTCTGCCTCACTGGCGGCAACGGTTGTCAAGATGATAGAGAGAGAGAGTGAGAGAGTGCAGTCTGTGTGTGTCTCTCTCTCTCAGTCCTATCAGATCTTATGTACTGTATAAACACACACACTGAGGCTCAACAGATGTGATATTATAACTGAAATTATAGTATACAGTATGCTGAAAAAATGGCACTTTTATATTAGTGAAGCTGAAAATAAAACAGCTTAAATTATCCTAAGCTGGTTTGCTGGCCTGAGCTGGTTTTAGCTGGTCTTCACCCGAGTGTCCACAGGAGGGCGATGTGTCTCAGTGATTCGCTGATTAACGTCGTGAAGAATTAAAAGGGCACCTGCGTGGAGCACATGTGCACAAAGCTTACGGCCTGATCTGATCTCAGAAGCTAAAGAGCAGAGTTTTTGGATTAATTCACTGGGATTTTACTGCTGAGATTGAGACCTAACTCGTTGGGAATTAGCTACGGATGAGAGCTGGCAATGAATCAAGAGAGAGTGGCGAAACGACTCATCTGAACTTCCAGATTCACAGCGGCTGAAGCTTCATGACAGACAAACAAGTATTTCGCTGTTTATTAATCATTGAGTGTTTGAACTGTTAGAATTGAAATACTGATAGTGATAGTTTGAACTGTTTGGATTGAATCATTGAGCGTTTGAACTGTTGGAATTGAATCATTGAGTGTTTGAACTGTTAGAATTCAAATACCGATAGTTTGAACTGTTAGAATCGAATCTGTGAGCGTTTGAACGGTTAGAATTGAATCATTGAGTGTTTGAACTGTTAGAATTGAAATACCGATAGTTTGAACTGTTAGAATCGAATCGGTGAGCGTTTGAACGGTTAGAATTGAATCATTGAGTGTTTGAACTGTTAGAATTGAAATACCGATAGTGATAGTTTGAACTGTTTGGATTGAATCATTGAGCGTTTGAACTGTTGGAATTGAATCATTGAGTGTTTGAACTGTTAGAATTCAAATACCGATAGTTTGAACTGTTAGAATCGAATCGGTGAGCGTTTGAACGGTTAGAATTTAATCATTGAGTGTTTGAACTGTTAGAATTGAAATACCGAT